ACAACTGGTTTCTTATTCAAGAATGGGTTCACATTTTTAAAAAATACCTTTATAGGTTTGGAAATGATTTAAAAAATATAGTACAAAAAGTTTCGCTGAAAAGAGCTGAAGCGAATAATGATAAATATGATAAAAATATGATAAAAATGTGGCCCTACCGCTCTGCAGAGGATGGATAAAATAATGAAAACACTTCGCTACTAATGCATTTGTTCATATATTTCTCCAGAAATACATAATGAAATATTTTATAACTTTAGAAGTGTTTAGAGCAGGTGATTTCTTATACATATTAATGATATTTAAAAGCTTTTAGAGGTTTGAGGGACTGGCAATAAATTACCAACGGAAAATAATGTTTTTGAACACCCTATGCCAAAAAATTTAGTTATAGATTTATAACTTGTAAAAACTTTTTGTCCTATCATAAGCAATAATTTCGCAAAATTTTGCAAGTCCAGCTTAAATACTTATGGAGATAGGGAAATTTTTATGAAAAACTATGTTTTTTTTGTCTTACGTTTCTTTGCTATAATGCTATAATTTTAAAAATATTCAATGTAAATAAACAAAATCTTTGGAGCACCTTAAAATTAATGACAAATAATTAATTATAATTTATAATAAGCAAATTAATAATGATTTTTTTTCTTTGAAATATGAGAAAAATTCGTAACGTTAAAATTCGAAAAGCGCGGGATATGAGCAACTAAACTAGTTCTTTTGTACTACGTATGCGCGATAAAAATTGAAAAAAACGTTCTTTAATTTTTTTAATATTATATTTTTTTAATTTTTAATGTTATAAGAATATTTTTTAATATTTTTTAACATGTGACTTAAAATTTGGTAGAGAATAGTATCTAAGAACTGTTGAAAAAAGTCTGATTTCAGTATCCTAAATATTTAAAAAGTTTCAAGCAATATTCAAAGTAGTTTTCGCACTTTTTAAATGAAAGCTCAAAATGATAAGGGGTTTTCTGCAAGTATTATTTTGCATCATAAGATAGAATTTAATAACAAATGATAATACCTAACAATAAATGTTCATACACCAAAATGTAATTTATAATGAAAAAAAAAAACAGGCGAAAAAAATGATATCTTTATGGGGGATGATATCCTACGATGACGGGGTCATTTTTAATAAAGCTCGTTTAATAGTACAAAAGAAAATATGTGGAAAATCCCTTATCATTTTGAGCATTATTTTAAAAAGTGCGAAAACTACTTAGAAAATTGCTTGAAACGTTTGAAATTTATAAGACTTTCAAATCGTACTTTTTTTTTATTAGTTGCGAAATGCGATCCACTACAAAATTACGAATTTTTTGCGCGCATGCGCAGTATAAACGAACTACTTTAATTAATTATATCTTGCGCAATTTTGAACGAATTTTTCTCTAATTTGAAAGAAAAAATTTTATAATTAATTTTACATTGTTCTAAATATTTTTTTCAGTTTTAGTGAATATTTTTAAAGTTATAGTAAAAAAAAAACGTAAAACAAAAAAATTACCAAATCTCCATAAATATTTAAGCTGACTAGGCTTACGAAATTTTGTGTAATAATTGAATATATTATCCAAAATAAAGGTCACAAGTTACAAAACTATTGCTGCATTTTTTGGCATAAGGTGTTAAGAAACTTTATTTTCCGTTTGTAATTTATTTTCTGCCCCTAAAACAATTAAATTTCATTGATATGTATGAGAAATCACATGATGTAAACACTTCGGAAGTTATAAAATATTTCGTTAAATGATTCTGGAGAAAATGAAAAAAATTATTAATATAGAAGTCTTTCCATTATTTAGTCCACCCCCAGTATAATTATAACTATTAACTTATTTATTATAATTATATTCTGGTGTAGGCAGCAGCATTATTTCGGATACGTGTAAAGCTGAGGCAGTGAAGGTGGGCTTGTGTTTTTATATTTATTTAAGTACTGAATTCAACGACTCCGAATTTATAATAACAATATATTTCAATTTTTATTAAAGTACACATAATAATTACATTCTATATATTCAACATAAAATACATAGTTTGGGAAATGTAAACAATAAATATGTAACAATTCATTTTGTATAACACTTTAAGAAGCAACACAGGATCATAAAACATTAAAAAAGCCTTTTCTTTTATTAAAAAAAGGAGCTAACAATAAGTTTTTAAACACAATGAGGATTTTATATTTGAAGAACTTTATGTAGAATAAGAATTTCTTGTAAAATTGATTTCGGCGCTTTTTTTTAAAAAATAATTGATACTGCTGTCGTTATATTCTGGCTATAGGACGAATGCTTAAAATAATAATAAAAAGGAGGACGTTTTGATAACATAAAAGAGGAAATGTCAAATAATTGTTAAAATCATATTCAGTGAACACGCACTCTTTTTTGAGTTCTTATGCGCGTTCGATGGATTGCGGCAAGCTATCCCGCAAATCTTCTGAGTCTTATTCAATCAAATAACCTTAATTTTGTTTATATTTACAATTGTATGTCAGATTTAATATATCAAAAGTTTTGATCACTTTTCATAACTGAGTTCATAGATTAATAATTTAGTTTTGGAAGCAAATTCTTCGAACTAAAAGAAAAAGCCATTTGACATGGTTTACAAACGTAAAATGCAGCAAAACAATTTTTTTTAGGAAAGAAGCTTTTTGATTTGTCGTTTCACAAGAGTAAGGTTAAAAGAACTATTCAAATTGGACAATTAGTCATCAATATAAACAACTGATAAAAAAAGTTCGTAATTTTTTAAGAATTTGTAAATTAATGTTCAATCAAATTTTGCGTAAAGCACTATGGTATATTTTTTTCAAGCAGAAATAAAATTTAAGCAGCTTCTTTTAAACCTGAACGAACTTGAACAACAAATAGCTTTGGCCCACGATCTAACATATCACCAAATATTAGAGTTTAGTCAGCTACACTATAAAATATTCCGGATCAAATTGTGGTATAAATGCACCCTTAGTGCAGCATTCGTAGAATTTATTTAACCTTAAAATCCTTTTTTACCGTAAAATTTTCTACCGTAATTTTTCAGTAACATTTTTTTAAATTATATTGATTCAATGATTTTACAGTAAATATTACTGTTTATAAAAATTACAATATATGTAACTTTTTTTGTTCCGTAAGACTTTACGGTAACAATGGAAATTACGGAATTTCCGGAATTTTTCACAGTCTTCATTACGAGGAAAAAAAAAAACCTGATAGACATCCTGAAATTTACAATTTCCTCAGAGTTAATTTAATTAATAATTAGTATGTGCAGTCCGTCTTAAGGAGCTTTTTTGCTCTAGTACTGAATTCTCATGTTTGAAAAATGCATGATATAATATAGAAAAAAAAGTAATAATACATCATTGATAACAAAAAAAGTTCGCAATTAAGCACCTTTTGAAATGGATTTAGTAGGATTTCAAATTTTCAATTATGTAAATAACAAAATTTTAGATATCACGAAATTTTACCTTCATTCGAAAGATGATATTTTATTAATACTAAAGAAAAATAGGGGATGGAAATTACAAGTTATTAATTCTTTGACTCCATTATTTAAATAAAAATTCAACAACATGGTAGTATTTTCAACATTTAAATACTATATCCTTAAATGAAATTGAAATACTTGTATTTGAACTTAAATTAAACTTGTTCTTATAATTTTCCTTAAATTTATAACAAAATATAGAAACATGCCTAAAATTTTCTCGTTTCTGACATTTTAAATTCTCAACCAGACTCATTGATTGTCAATAATCCGTCATTTCAATATTTTTACTTTTTTTTAATGCATCATATTTTTACTGCATAATTTTCAGCTAATATTACATAAAATTATTTTTATCAAAACAGAAAAAAAATTTAATAAAATTCTATATTAAGTAGTATGTTGAGCATAAAAATGTACTTATGTTGACTATAAAAAATAATCTTCTCACGAACCTATGAAGCAAAATTATTTTTTAGAAACAATCTTCATGCTTTTACTCAATATAGAGCAGAGATAGGTAAACACAAACTTTATTTACAGGATAATTGTCGGAAATAAGAATAGTTACTCACTTTTTGAGGATAACTCATGTTTAAATTTTAGCACAACAATTATTAATCACATTCCATTAATTTATAATACAAAAAATAATAACTGTAAGGATTAACGTTTGTGTTAAATGTTTTTATTTCGGTTGAAGAACTCCTACTATTTGGAATTAAGATTTCTTCATTGAAGATTGGTATTTAACCATTTGAAACAGATGGAAAATCAGTGTCCCTTTGATTTATTTTATTCTGTCGCTCCAATGACAAATAAAAAATATATTTTTGAATTTTCTAATAATAAAATATGATCTATTAGTGGCTAAGAAAATCTGTTAGATTATCTGGATTATATTTGTAATTTGAAATTAGTAGTTTGCATTTTTTAAAATTAATATTATTAAATGTATCAATAATGGATTTTGTAAATTAGACAAAAATTGAATAATGAATAACTGTTTTTCATAGATCTAAATAACTGCAAATTTGTTAAAAAAAATATTGTTTGTAAGAGAGCAGCGTTAGGAAGATTTTACCTTTTATCCAGAAAAATAAAAACACTGGTGTCTCATGCGTATTTAATATTTAAATTTAACGTAATAACATGGTTCATTTAATACAATTTACTATGTTTTTGATACTATAATATTATAATTAAAAGTTTTAGCTCTTTTTGTTAAAAAGTAGACCTTTGTCAAAATTTTTCGCTTTGAAACAATGTATTTCAATGTATTTCTGTTAGTGTATTCAATTAATGTAATTCAATAAAAAAAATTTTCTCTATATATTAGTACTTTACATCAATAATATAAACTTAACTTTCAGAAATGTTAAAAGAAAATACAGTTAAATTTTATTAAAAAATATTTGATTTTTAAACTAATTAATTTAAAGTATTTAATTAATTTGATTTTTTTGAAATAATTAATTTGAAATAATAAAAATTATTAATTAATAATTTTTAAAACAATAAACTGATCAAATAATATTTGAAAACTAAAACTTGAAAACAGGTTGGTGTTAAGGAACTTCTTCAGTGGTGAAAAAAAAATCAGGATAATGTAACAGTTTCTTTATAAAAAAAAGGAATATTAGAATGGGAATTTGCGTTACATTCATATATAAGGATTTATTCTTCAAGCAAGAGATTGTATCTGTACTTGTCATAATAACAACATTCTCAAGAACAACAAAATCGTCGTTAAGTGCAAATGAAAAAGATTCCCACCAACAAATAAGTTTAACGGCAGCAAATTCTGACAAATGATTGTTTTCAGTTCAGATGCACGATCTTTGCCAGAGTGTATGGCATCCATTACTCTTCATCAACTTTAAAAATATTAGTTTTTTTGAGAGCCTTTTCGCAGAAAGGCATAAAATAAGCATATTGATCATATTCACCACCATTAAACATACCACTCTTTTAAATCTTTGCCACCTTTCTTCTTTTTGGGAGTTTTTTCTGGATGCGCCTTGCTTAAGCCGTTAATATGAGGTGGTGGACCGTTTAAAAAAGCTGGATTTGGAGCAATAACACCAAATTGAGCACCATACTGATAGTTTTTACTCTCATCTACTTTATAGGAACCTTCAGTTCTGTTCCTCAGTTTATAAACGATGAGAGCTATGAGGACAATGGCAATGAGGAGCCCTGCAATTACACCGATTACCAAAGCTGTATTGTCTGCTGAGCTTCGAGTCCTCTGGGTCGGTCTCTGATAGTCTTTTGAACCTGGGCCTGCTAGGCCTGGAATGGGCACCTCATAGACTACCGCAGGTACCCGAGTTGTCTTCGTGTGTGGTTGTTCGGGTAAGGAAACAATGACAATGGGCGGATGTGCGGATGTGGAAGACATGGGCACTCGGTAGTCCGGGTATAACGGCGGTATGTGAGTGGGGTACGTTAGCAAGATATCCTCAGGTTGTCCGGCTTCACCTTCAGATATGCCGGACCCGATATCGATATCATCTTCATCATCTTCGTGTGAATCCTCATGGTGAGAGGGGTGATAGTTCACCGGCGTTGGTGACACGATTTCTGGAGTGATCAGTTCTTCATCTAAAAAAACAAACAAACAAAAGAATTGTTAAACCATCACTCTTTATTCCATTTTGAGTACATTTGGACTAATATTGATTATGTTTGCACGATAAAGACTAATTTTCATGAAATAATGTAGACAAATTTTCAATAGAATATGAAGTACAATGCATTAAAGTATATATTGCGTTTAGACACTTTTAGGTTTCTTAAATAATCCGTAATTTAAAATGTAAATAATAATAAATGTTTAATTTTAAATTTATAACTTATAAAAAATGTAAAATTGAGAGATTGTTGATAGGTGAAAATTATTCAAAAGAATAAATATCTAATTAACATTTGTTCGCAAAAAGCAAACGATTTTCATTTTAAATCAAACGCGAATCACAGCTGCGGCAGTTTTTTTTTTTTTTTTTTTTTTTTTTTTTTTTTTTTTTTTTTTTTTATCGTCAGCACATTATTTTTTCAAGGGTTGGCGCAAATTCAGAGATAGTTTATAATTTGATGCTATCGCTTAAAATTGAAGCTATAGTCTTCTGTAGAAGATATGTTACAAGATAAAATATCATTAATTTGTGTTGAATCCGCCGAAAACGATTATACATCATGTTTTGTTGTATAAAAGCTTTGTTCTTTCATTAAATGTTATTTGTGGGCTGTTGATTTTTGATGGTGTTTAGTTATTTAGTTGTAATGTATTATTTGTGGTGAAAATGGACGAACAATTGGATATCCTATGCCACATCTTTGAAAATGGTAGCCCATTCTGTCATTGTTCGTTTGAATAAATAAACGAAAAAATCATATGATAATTGTAGCAACGCTGATGTCACCAAAAATTTAATACTTTAAAAAAGTGGACATTTTGAGGAATGTTGCATTTAAACTCGAAGAAGCTTTGATCTTTTTATGGTTAGGTTATTAGCCATTGCGTTTTATTTTTCTTTAGAAAAGTGTTGTGTATTCCAAGCCTGTGATTTTCAGAAGTTATGAGCTTTCGCAGTGGTTATTTCAAAAGCAGAATAAAAGGGGTGAGTCCTACTTATTTTTTCTTTTTCGCATATAAGCTCTTATATTAATGAATAAAATAGTGTTCGAAATTAAGGGTTAATTAAAATAAGTTAGTGTTTTAATATTGAGGATTAAATAAAATTGATATGTTTTGAGTTCGCTTTCGATTTTTTTAAGTCTATTTAATTTCTTTGTTTAAAAGTTCTTTGGTTTTCAAATACTTATCTGGTGTTTATTTTTTGACAGTCAAATCAATGTTATTTCATTTTCCCAATCAACATTATTTTTTATGGTTTTTATTTTCTAATTTAGACTGATGGATTTTGTAAAGTAATTAATGTTTTCCCTCATTTTTCATATACATTGGGCTTTTTTCAATAAATACAAAAACTTATCAACAGTTAAAAAATTAAAATAATTGAAGTTTTATTTTAATTACAAATGTTAATTTTTTTGATATTAAATGTGTACTGGATCTTTCAAAAATTATTTTAATGGTTAAATTTACAATTCTCACTACAAACAATTATTACCAATTGACATTATCATAAATAAATAAATTTTTAGCATTATCATTACTGATTTTTCAAAATAAACTATGCTTGTTATTATGCAGCTATTGAAATATATACCTTATAGACATAAGTTTTAAATATTAGGAGCCTATCTGTCCCTGTAAACTATATCTGTTTTATAAATACTAATTAATTGTCAACATTTATTAGTATTTTTTTTATTTCTTATTTCTATTCTGAATCATAATGTTTGTTGGTGTTCTAGATGTTTTATACGATGATTAATTACATAAAATTTTAAAAAAATTAGGTAATAAAAACTTTTTAATAATTGAAAGGAAAAAGGATTCGTAATAAATCAAAGCATAAAATCTCGAATGCATTTACTATTATAGAGTATTAATTTTAAATAAAACTTATAAATTTAACATTTAAATGTTATAGAATTTTTTTTTAAGCATTTTGGTAATTTTACAGTATTCGGCTTAGAATTTACTAATATTAAAATTTTATTGTTAAAAATTAGTGCTTTATAATTAATAATTCAATTATATCAGTTTGTTTTAATAAAAAGAAAATTAATAATAACGGAATTACTATTTATACTTTTTAAAAAGCAGTAGTAAAAATTAACAAAATAATGATTTTTCAAAATAACATTTTTTTGAACTATCCATATAATAAAAGAAATGTAGTTGGTCATTTTTAGCTTCATCTACTTTGTTCTGTTTCTTCCATTTCTTCAAGTTTTTCTTCCTGTTTTTTTCCACTTTTTTCCACTGTGTGTTCTGGGAGAAATAGGTATCTTCCGGACGAAATGCAACCCTTATTATAATAGATAATAACTTACAAACTAAAACTTATAGGTCAGTAGGAATGAACAATAAGAAATAATTCAAAGCTTCTTCTAATAAAATATTTTAACATTTAAAAGTTGGATATTTTTGTCAGGTTAAAAAAAAAAATTAAAACTAATAAAATTTGTTTACACTATTATTATTTAAGTTTTTATTTTTATTTTTTTTTAAATGAAAAATGTATGAATACATCAACTAAATTAAGGTCGAAATTGAATCATTAGGGGTTTCCAAATACTCGGTAAGAGACCAAAATACTGTCCCCCAAAAAGCTAACTAAGTGCGTCAGTCACGGAGACTCGATTGTGAAGTCACATGTGACTTTTGCATGTCGATGCGTGGATCTAATAAGGTAACTAAGTCCGCCTTTGAGGGCGTCACATTTTGACATTACGAAGACGTCAACATGAAATCCCAATCAGACAATTATTAGTCATAATGATTTAACGGAACGAAGAAGATGTCACATATTCACGTCTCAACTGGGTCCCCCTGTGACGAAGACGTGACATATTCACGATTATGACATATTCACGATATAAATTTTGATAATGATTTTCAACATATTCTTAGAATTTTGTCGTATAAATATTTCTGGCTGTTTATTGTAAAGAAAAAAAAGTGTCCGAAAATATTGTTTCACTTATTGATTCGATAAAAAAAAAAGTTTCAGAAGATATTGTTTTAAGCATAGATTTAAGAAAAAAAATTATTTTAAGAAAAAAAAAATATTTAAGAAACATTATTTCAGCTATTGATTTGACAAAAAAATTAGGTAATTAGTTTCAAATTAAAAAAATTAGAAAAAATCTAATGTTTAAGAAAAAAATATTTTAAGAAACATTGTTTCAGAAAATACTCTGTTACACAGTTACTGACATGATAGAGTTTTAGAAAATACTCTTTCAGCTATTAATTTGAGAAAAAAGAATTCAATTAGCTTCAATTAGCTATAAATTATCTTTCACAAAACCAACCACCGAACCAAAACCATGTTATAGTACTACAAATTTTGGATATTAACTGAAGCTAATTCTATAAATTTTGAATAATTCTTACGTTTCTCGTTGTTGGAAGCCTCGCAATCATCTTCATCATCATAACAGCCTGAACCTGCTCCAGAAAAATCTAATTCTTCTGTAGGTTCTGAAGCATCAGGGGTAACAGATTTCTGGAAGAGATATAAAATTGAAATTATTGTTTATACTTTAAAGTTATAACTTATTTTACCGTAATTTTGTGATATTCAATACAGAAAATTAAATTTAAACATAGAAGAAATGAAACGGGCAGAAACCATACATTTAGTAAAACTGCTTAACAGCATTACACATAGAAAGATACAGCGAATTGGCATTTTTCTGTGAATAGAGTTGTTAATAAATTTAAATAATTATTTATTGATTTATACAATGCATTGACACACAAGATTTAGTAAAAAAGAGCTCTAATTACGTAATTTGATTTACTTGAGTAGGAGAGAGGGTATATCAAAAAATTACGCTAGTATCTTCTAAAAAGTAGTTAAAATAACATTTGGTACATTCTTAGGCCACTGTGGCTCAGAGGATTGAACGTTCGCCTCCGAATGAGGTGATCCAGGTTCGATTACTTGCTGTGGCTGGTTGATACGAATTCTGCTTCCGGCTCGCACAGGCGCCAGTGCAGTTGTAAAAATTATCCTCAAAGATAGATGGATTGTGGGGTTAGAATCCTCCAGCTATCGGGCTAATCGTTGGAGGATTTCATCGTTTTCTTCTCCATGTAACGATAATTCAGATTAGTTCCATCAAAAAAAATTTTTTTTCCCCCACGAAAGCTAGTTTGTCCCAATACTTGATCCTCGAGTTTCCTTGTCGTCTTGATAAGGTTCAAAATTACAAAGATATGGATTGGAACATTGATAGTCGAAAACTTAGAATCGGGTCAGCTGTTTCAACGCCGGTTATAATAAAAAAATATGGCATATTCTTATTAATTTTGAACCAGATTTTAATATGTAGGGGAAAAAATGGCTACGTTTATTGAATTAGATGTTTGATAAGTTAAAAAAAAAGTTATTGTCAAACATTCCATTCGACATTTGTCTTCCAGTTTCAGAATGGAACATGCGTGAATTATGGCAAGTCTTACATAAAAGTGGGGATGGTTTAGTTCATTGGTTCTCAACGGGGGCGATATCGCCCCCCTGGGGGCGGTGGGACTATGCTGAGGGGCGGTGAACTTGTTTTGGGCAGTAGGGGGGCGTTGGGTATGTTTTGGGCGGTAGGGGGGCGTTGAGCATGTTTTGTCATTCAAATTTAATTTTCAAACTTACAAATAAAATGATTAAATTAAGATTAATTTAATAAAAAGAAATTTATAATGAAGAAAAAGAGATTAAATTAATATAATAAATAAAGATTATCCGATACACTATTAGAAACACCAATAAAACGAACTTATACGACACCTATTCTTCGATCCGAACCAACACAGCTCAGCGCATGAGCCAGTAGTTTTTGCCTCTGACTCATTCAAGCCATTTGGTGGAAATTGCAGTACATGCGCTTTCAGTATGAATGTTTGATTGGACCCGTGTTTCTTATAATGGTTTTCGTTAGCTTTCTTG